CTCTGGTGAAAGTGATTAAATAAATAAATAAATTTGCGGGAAATCATAGGGTGATCTTTGAAACAAACGATACTCCGTATTGTTATTTTGATTTAAATTTGTGCTTTGCACTAAAAACTGAAAATCACGAAGAATATGATGTGAGATGAATATATGAAATATAAATTCAGTTTACTTAAGGGATGTATTGAGGTGTGGATGTTATTCCATTTTTGTGACGATAACTTGAATCAGTAAAATACCTCAGTAGTCACGCCAGAGTTAGAAAGTACAAACTGAAATATCTCTTCTAACAAGTTATTTATACGCTGAAGGGTACTGCTCACCTAACACGGCAACGACCAGGATCAATAACCCAACAAACGGCGTGAATATCGTTTGGGAAAACATCTTTCCTTCACACAGCCGTCGAAAAATCAAAGGAATTCACGTCGAAACCTGACGAGAGAGGAAAATATTGAAATCCAAACTAAACACAAGGATATCAAAAGCCAAACTATTGCTCGGTTAACTGTCACTAGAGACGCTGCACCTCAAAATATTTGATGAGTGTGTAAAAGTATCGACAGTTTCTGTAGAACTGAAGCAGCAATGCCGTATCTGATTTCAAACAATGCTTGTAATCCTTTGCCCCAATGACCTTTTTTCAAAGACCAGCAAGCATTGTCTAAATAGGCTTGAATTGTTGACAATCGCGTAGTATGATTTAAGGACTAAGTGAATGAAACTGTTTAAACCATCGATGTGAACAGTGTAACGGACTGATATTGGGAACTTCGTATGTTTTGTCTCTATGGTATTTATATTGCACTTTTTTCCATAACACGTGGTTAATTCAGCTGCGCTGACAGGGCATTAATAGAATATACAGTCTAAGGTGCAAGGGAAAGTCCCTTTTTCGCAATATTTGAACATTACCTTGGAATTGCCACGAAATTGAGAAAACGGTTGGTTAGTTTCCGGGTTGGTTTTTGACTGCCGTGACTGGGTAATCTTAACATGTCTGAAGGGCAGAAGGTCATTCATCTTCCTGTTTTGAATCGTTACCAAAACCCCCAAAATATTTGACTTACCGCGCTTTACTTTGACCGTGGATTTTGCTGAACCAGAGTTGAAAGCTTTTCATTGTCGAGAGTTTTACTGTTTAGAGAAACGTTTGTTTGTGATTCTCGGAAGTAATGTTTTCGAAGATAACAAAGGAATTTTGTGTTTTCTTAAACAGGAAGCAACAAGTAAAAAACGTGATAGGTTCGAACCTACGGTCAACTACAGGGAGTGGCCACTACTCCTGCAGTTATATATATATATATATATATATAACTAACTGCAGACAGTACTGTTTCGGCCTTCTGCTCTTATATATATATATATATAAGAGCAGAAATGTAATGGTCAAGAGGCCAACTCCAATGTAGCTTTGTTGATTTATTAGCTCGACGTTTCGACCGTCTCGGTCTTCCTCAGGAGCATACTAATATTACATGAGCAATATTCAAATTTAAAATTCGTGTCAACAGTAAACATGTCATGACGTAATAATATAAAAATAGAATAGATAACAGCGAAACGTGTCATGGTGTCTAAAATAGATAAATTAAAGTAGTTATAATTCATGTAGTAAGCTTATTGATAGTAGGATTGAGTCTTAATATCCAATAATTTTCTCTTGCTTTTCTGATTTCTTGATTTTGACTTCTAACTTTTTCAATAACCGTAAGTTTAAGATGGTCGAC